ACGCGGCAGCACCGGCGGTTCCCCGCGCCTCTGAGGCTTTGCTCTGGCAAAGCCTCAGAAGCGCGGGAACCCGCCTGGTGCCCCTGGTCTGCTGGAGACGGGCTCCAGCAGACCAGGGGGACCAGGGCAGCTTCGCTTCTGAGGCTTTGCTCTGGCAAAGCCTCAGAAGCGCGGGAACCCGCCTGGTGCCCCTGGTCTGCTGGAGACGGTCTCCAGCAGACCAGGGGCACCGGAGCAGCTTTCGCCCCGACTTCCGGGGCTAGACCCGGCTAGACCCGGCCAGCGGCAGAGACGCGCTGAGCCCGCCCGCCTCAGTTCTCGAGATGCTGACTCGAGTATAAGCCGAGGGGGGCATTTTTCAGCACAAAAACTGTGCTGAAAAACTCGGCTTATACTTGAGTATATACGGTATTTCAAAATAAGATATTTTGAAATAACACTGTAGCGTAGACATACCCAGAGATGTACATATACAAAATAAGAGGCAGTTTTTCCCCAAAGAGCTTGCAAATTAATAGACAAGAAGTGCAGTGAAGGAAAAGGTATTCCCATTGTGTGAAGGGTAAATGGAAGGATTAATTGATTTGTCCAATATCTAAAGATACACATTAATAAGAAAGATGTCACCTCCATAACAATGTTCATTTGCCACTGATAACCTACCTTTCTCTCCATCCTAAGTTCCTGGTAATTGTACTTGCCCTGATAATGCATCTCTGTCCTTTAGTCCTTTTCTTCAAGTATTTCAATAGCCTTTTTGGTTCACTCAGATAATAAAAACAGCCTTGGTTTCCCTTTCATTTCTACCTGAACTTTGAGGAAGTGAAATGAAGAAGTCCAGGGTATAACATTCCACCCTTCCAAAGAAACTGCATTTTTTAGGAGCTGTACTGAAACAAAGAACCAATTTGTAGTCTATAGGTGCTTGGAAGTTTAAAAATGCCTGAAAACCTTGTGTGAATATATACGAATAAAGACAAGCATTTGAGCCACACAGAACTCAAGTCTCATTCACCATGTCTTGCTAATATTCTGGAATCGACAGAGTGACAACTACACTGCATATACCTGAATAATCAGTTTTAACTCTCCATTTTCTTGATATGGTTGTGTTGGTGAAGAGTAGTAGGGCTGGATTTCTCACCTTACGGAAATGAATTAGGAGGCAGAATTAACACTGAAGTAAGATGAATGTGAGACAAATTATCACCTTTCCTGCTCCTATTTTCAGTCAGGAACAGTTTTTTCAAGGTCAAATAAACCTTGCAGCACACAGCTGTTTTTTAAAGTGAAACATCTACATTTCATTTTGTAATGATCATTTAGAATTGGCAGAATTCGAAGGAACCTAATGTTGCAAACAAATTTAACAGAAAAAATCTACAATTCTCTCATTTTGATATTCTCTGTCTGCTGATCCTCAAACAGGAATGTATTGGTTTGTTTGTTCATTGCCTTTAAAAAATTTGTTTGAAGGTTTTGCTATATCAATTTCAGAGCAATATGTTCAGGTTTATAGTTACATCCCCTAAGCAGCTGCCCCTGGGTATAGGGCAGTGGTTCTCAAAGTGTGGTCCAGGGACTACTAGTGGTCTGTTGCTGCCTACCAGGTGGTCTGTGATTCAAGCTGAGTCCCCCCCCCTTTTTTCCCCACCAGGGGGGAGCTTGCACTCAGTGCACAGGGAGGCTGCAGCACCAGCTCCGGCTTCCAGCTTGGGAGGTGGTAGGGGGAGGTGAAGAAAGCAAACTCATTCCTCCCCCCCCCCATGTGGGCCATGGAGCTACAGGTGAAGGAGTGCCACCCCACCTCCCTCCATAAGAAAGTCCCACCTGCCACTGGGAGTCCACCTTGCCTAGGCCCCACCCAGCTAACAGTCACCATGGTAACACCAGCCCTTCCCTCAGTTGCTCCTGTGGGGCAGGCAGCAGGTTGGGCTGTGCAGAGCCTGACTGAGCAGGGCAGGCTCTCCTGATGCACAAGTGGCCAGTGCCTTCCCCCTTCCTCCTTCCCCCACAGAAGGTTAGGCTGTGTAGCAGGGGGAAGGAGGTGGCACTGGGGCTGAGGAACCTGCACACACAGGACACAGCTGGGGGGGGATCAATGCCTTTCAAGTCTTTGCACCTGTGGGGACTGGGACTGGGGGAGGCGCTGAGCCATCTTAACAGCTGCCCTCTCAGGTCACCATGGACTGAACCCCTGCAGGATGCTACCCTCAGCAGATATAGTGTCAAAATACTGTCAAGCTGGAGGACGTCTTACTCCGACTCCTGTAATCCTCATTGTACAAGGAGTAAGGGAAGTCAGAGGAAGAGCGCTCTATTTCAAAATAAGTGCTGTGTAGTATCCTAAGACTCAGATATTGCAACAGTTACTAGTCTCAATATGATTTGGAGCTAAACATTGAATTATGTCCATCACAAGTATTTCACAGTTGTCTAACTGCCTGAGAACTGTCCACCCAAAGGACTGAACTATCTAATAAGTAACATTGAACTGTGTGACCTTGACACACAAAATGTACAGCCTGCTACATTTAATACATTTACTTGTGGGCCCAGTGTGGAAAAAATAGTGATCACACAATAACCAACTGTCTCATAATGCATATGCACAAGAGAACGAAATTAAGGTTGCACAATCCACCACAAATGATACATTTATCAAATCCCCAATGCTTTGGCCTGGCAGCCTAAATAATTTACTAGTCAGGTGGAAGTATTTGGATGTAATGAGAACAGCTATTGGAATGTGCTCAGGTGCATGTGATTGAATCAATGAGCATTTGATGCACAAGGTGAGTGCAGTGTAACCTGTTGCAGACTTTGAACCGGTGACTCATTAATCTGCTGGTGTGATTGTCCTTTTCCCAGGAACAAATGTCAGCGGAATGAAAGGGTCGCTGCAGTGTTGAGAAGGGATCTTGGGTTCCTAACACTGAGCTGTACGGAAAAATAAAGACCTGGGTTAATGCATTGATTTCACACCTATTATCAATTGGCATGGAGATGGCCGGGGTTTGTCCATTGCTATTTGCTGCCTTCTTGCAATGGAGCCCTGGTTTTCTCATGGCATCAAATGGGAGCTGCATTCCTCAGCTCTGCATGGCACGACAGCCGCCTTTGGCCACATACATCGGCGCAATCAGGTGTGATCGCTACTGCCAGAGGCAGCCTGTCAATGTAGGCGAACGAGGCGCCAAGATAAAGGGCCGTTGAGGGCTTTGGAGGCGGGGGCTCCGATCGCGGTTTCGCCGAGGGAGCCAGTTGCTGGCAGCTCGGCTAGGGCCGCTCCTGCTGCAATACACTGCCCCTGCCCCAAGCACCGGGCCTTCCTTCGATTGTACCAAACACAGGCCTGTGGAAGAGACAGCGGCCTCTGACGGCGGGCTACAGGCCTGGGGGGTGGCGGGTAAAGTCCGGG